TCTCGTCCAAAGGAGAGGGAGCGGCTCTGGGTCTCGGTATCCCTTGCTGCAGCTTGAGCCAAGGACTCATGTCTCTCGAGGTGTCTCTCAGTGTCCAAGCGCAGCTTGGTGTTGGTAACTCTGACCAGTGTCTGTTGTAAAACTCCGGAGTCGTAACATCGGTTTCTGAGCTTCAGTGTGAAAAACCTAGTGGCTTCCAAGACCAGTCTGAAAACACGGCCTCTCAAGCTTTAGAAATGAGAAGGTAAAATACAACTTATTGACGGTTATGCCTGCTTAGTGGGTGTAAATGCTTTAGATAATTAAAGCTGTGGCTGATGCGACCACATGTCAGGAGAACTTTTGCTTCGTGCTTACACGAAATGCCTGTGCATGGAGGGAGCATTCCCTACGGTGAAACTGTTGGCCTTCAAGCGCTCTTGTTAGGATTAGCGCATGGTAGTACAACCTCTGCAGCTCCAAGTCCTGAACCCAGCTCCCAGGCCTTTCCCCAAAGGCTGCAATGACAAGGCAATGGATGCGGCATGAAATAATAGGCTGCCTGTGTATGTGCTGGGGTAACGGGTCTGGCACAGCTGTCACCAGTCTTTTTGGGGGGAAAAGCCAGCAGGTGAGATGGAGTCATTTGCAGGGTCATGAGTTGGACCTCACACACACAGATACAGGGGTGGGACAGCAAAGGTCAGGGTCCCTCTCCGTCTATACATACGGCTGGTCAGCAAATGCTGCAGACGATTGGGAAATGCCTGCGCACCCTACCGGAGATCTTAAGGGTCTGGGACCAGGACAGTCCTGGAGGTAAGACTCGGTCCATGCTCATTAGGCCCATGCACAGCTGCATTGCTCACTAAACTCCACCTTCTTTTGCATCTTTGTTGCCTCATGGCAGCACCCGAGCATTTCTGTGGGTTTGTTTTATTGCAGTTAAAATTCAGGCTGTACGGCCTGATGGGGGGTGGGGGTGTTGGAGCACAGTCAGAAGCGAAGGAGCATTCCTGGAGGTTTTGTGTTCCCTCATTACCGATCTGGCTTGGCCCAGGGGCTCTTCTAGATGGAGTTTAAATTTGCCATTGTAATGGGTAGAAAAAGGTGCAGCAAATCACAGGTCATGACAACTCAGGATTTTGTCTTTCACTGCCTTCCTCACACTGTTTAGCAACAGAATTCTTTCTCTGCATATATGTTACCTGAAAATTTGCAGCTTCTGAGGGGACAGGGATGACTTGCACTCAACAGCCAACCCAATGCAGGTAAGTTTCTAAGATAAATCTTGACCTCCTATCTGCTGTAACTTGGTTTTGTACAGCCATTATGTGAAGCAGAATCCAATGAACTTTGGAGTATTGGTAAACATCATTGCAAAGAAGATGCAGGCAACAAGGGCAAAAAGACCACCAGCATGCTATTCCGTCGTCTTCCTCACACAGTTTGAGAAGAAAGAGTTGAGTGAAAACCCAATTTGTTTTTCTTTACGTGAAAAAAACCAAACACTCTACACATCAAGCATACACACAAGGCCATAAATCACTGAGAAGGTGCTGCCGAGGTCAGTGATTGTGAAAGTGTGTAGGTAGAAGGGCGCTCAGAGCAGAAATGAGAACATTACAGTACACTGACACCAAGCCGCCAAAGTGGAGTGAAAGGGGCCGCAGCGAAATCACAGCATTAATACTCTAGCTGTAAATTTTTTAGTTAAGGTTCCTATCATACGCTTCTATTTTTAACACAGTTGAAATTAAACTCTGCAGCCAAGGCTGAGCGCTAGAAATTCTTTCTTCACTACTTCAGCATTGCCAGCATCTTTTTCGACAACTTTCTTCTCCTCCTCCTCCGCAACCTCCGATATGGGATACTTCAGCTATACAGGATAGTAAGTATCATCTCTCCGCCATCAGGAGTGACCTCCTAAAGGACTCCCAGCAACGAGGAGACGAGCTTGTCGTGACAGTGTCTGGTGTCAGCTTTTAATTTGTGACCATTTTCCTTGGCCCTCTCTTTGTGGATGGTTACTGCTGAAAATCTGCATGAAACTGTCCTTAATTCACCCCGCCTAATGCTGTTGCACAGATGGCATCTGCAATCAGTAGATCAGGGAGCACTGTTGTAGCTCAGTAAGACTTGCAAGTCGGGGTCAAAGCCTCAGTCTTAATTCTTGAGTTCCTAGCCTTGATACAGCCACACTCAAAACAGCCTCCCGGTCTGCAAAATGTTCTGACATCGAACACTTCATAGTCAGGCTCTGCCTTTTATCTTGCGGACCCACCTGTCCCGTGCGGCTTTTTTTATTTGTCTTACAACAGCAGATACCAAATTCCTTGAGGCTGCTGCTTCTGTCTTTTAATGTGCTCCGTCGACTACTGCTGTACAAATACAAACCAAAGCGGTTTTGCACAGTACAGAGTTCACTTGTGGAGTATTTAGAATTTGCCTTTAGCTCCACTTAGGACACAGAGGAGGAAGGTGGTGGTTGTATTTAAGCTGCTGTATCAGGCCCTTGGCAGGCAAAAGAGGATCCGGTGTTTTGGTTGTATTGGTTCGACCGAAATGGTGTAAGGTGGCTGATGAGCCCCTTACTGCAGGCTGCCATAGTGGGAGCAATGTTAGCTGGCTGGGCTGAGCCTTCTCCTCCCTCGGTCCTAGTCCTGCCAGCTACCGCTGCTTCAAAGTTGGTAGCTGATGTCTCCACAAATGTTAAGAAGATTCATCCTCTTGATCTCGTTTGACTCAAACCGCTTTTTTCTATCAGAGAGAAATTTACATTTTGCGTGTGCCTGCAAAAGATTTCTTTAAAAATTTTAGAAGTGACTGTTTCATAATATAGTGCAAAATTTATAGACTTCCCCTGGAAGGGGAAGAATATTACAGTTATCCCTTTTTAATCTTTCTTGTTATCCATTGTGCCTGGCAGGTGGAGGTGAAAACAGGTTGAGATTTACAGTAAATCCATTTAAAGATCTAACGCTGTACTCGTATAGAACTTGGCTTACGATTTTTAACGGATTGTGTACCATATTAGCAAAGTGTAATTACGTAGGAAGAGAGCGGCTAAGAAGAAGTAGTCATTAAAAAGACATTTACCAGCAGTAGCCACGCTGCAGTAGTGGAGGTCCTTCCCTCTTCTAAATACAGCTTAATTACTACTCTTCCAAATACATTGTCGTTTTGCTTTCTCTTTTTTGAGGCACCCACTACAGCAGAGGGGAAACGCAGCACAGCAGCATCAAGCTGTGCAATAAAAAGCATTAACCTTGGAGGACCACCTCTTGGAAAGAGTTGTCTTTTTCTAAACTGAGGGAGTACCTTTAAATTAAGATTCGAGATTTCATGCAGAAGCCCTTGTGCCTTTTCGTTTCTTGCTGCCATAGCAAGAGTTGAACAGAAGTCCAAAATTTAAAGTTTGCTGTATAATCTAAACCTTTATTGACTGAACACTGACCTGAAAACTCACACCACTGTAAGTAAAAATGGTACTTTTTGCTCATGATGTGAAAAGTGATAGTAAAAGCCTTTGTGTGAAGGTCAGGTTACATGAAAATCGGGGGGGGGTTTGAGGTTTTGGTTTTTTGGGGAGTTTTTGGAGGTTTGTTTTGGATTGGTTTTTGGGGTGTTTTTTTTTTTTTTTGAAGGGTCACGGGTTTTGATTGCAACCATGTTACTGCTTTTTGTCAGCTGTATGACTTTTGAATTGTAAAGTTATTCTATGTGAATAATGGGTATACATTTATTCATTAAATGGATTTGAAAACCACGGGGTTTTGTTTCCTTCTAATTAAGAGTTCACTCTTGAACCGTGAGCCAGTTTGTACAGAAAGGTCCTCTTCGAGACGTACGTTAGCACTACTACTCCTGAGAATGAACCGCCATCAACCTCGTTGGAACTAGTGTTGCAAGCACCCCATTTGCAAAAGGTGACTGAAGCCCCAGGGCCATACCTGCGGCACTCCTGTGACAACGTGTGCCCTGCAGACAGATCCTAAAGAACAATGCTGAAGAAGTATCTCTGAGGCCCGAGATAAATGTGACCTTTAAAATGTACGGCTTAACAGCCTCCAGAGGGATTTAAGAACTTCAAACCCCTGGTACTAAATGGGATTTCTTTCCCCAGTAAATGTAGATTTGATAGGCTGCCTCTAGTTGCGTTTCCTGCTAATGATTTGATCAGCTAAAGTGTGTTGGGACTGGGAAGTTAACTCTAGGACCCTGGATTTCAGTGGGTACTTAAAGCTAGGAGCTGAGAAATGGAAGGTATTAAAAAAAACTGGCATAAAACACTCCTTAAGCAGACCCTGGAACCCAGCTGAATCCTGCTCGGTTTTGGTAAGCCAACTGCATGTTCACTTCCTTCCACAACGTGGACACAGGTCCAGGTGACAGCAGAAAGCCACGTGCCAGAGAAGCATCCAGCCCTGCACTTGGAGCGTTTGTAACACGGGGTCAAGTTCACGTCAGCAGAGAAAAAAACCAAGCTGGAGCAAATGGTTACTGCATAGAAGAAAGGCCCTACTTGTTCCTCTGTAGGTGGTGCAGGGCCAGCAGAAGCACGTCTGCTATGCTGAACCTCACAGGCCAAAATGGGATGTGAACCCCGAAGGGCTCAGGCACGCAGCTGTTAGGCACTCTTCAGAACTGAAAGAGCTGCGAGTAGGCAAAGCAGCCGTTTGGGCACACAAGGAGAAGGCGAGCAAACAACCTGACACTAATTATTAGATGCAGGCACTTAGATCTGTTTGTGGCACTAGCCTCAGGCACTTACTTAGGCAGCTAGCGACTTCATCCTTTCCCCGTACCTCAGAAACCAGGAAGAATGGTAGCAGCAGATGGGTTTTGTCCCTTCTGCTAGGCATGGAGGCACACGCGGTCTTCCTAATTACTGCTAGGTGTTTTAATCGTTGTTACTGGTGTGCTCACACTGATTTTCAGTGAGTTATTAGCGTGCACCACCAGCTTTTGCGTTCAAGATCTGTGAGTTTCCCTTCTCACAAAAAGGCAGCTAGAAAAGCTGAGTTTACACTTGCTTTATTACAAAACTAACCACTGCAGCTTCAGCTCTCTGCGCACTCACAGCTACCTCTGGGAACTTGTTTCCCATGGCTGTGTGGAAATCACATTTCCGAGTGCCACACCGAAGTGAGGGAGATGCAAATGACTGTATCATCTCCTGCTATTCTTTTGCTCATCTGCCTTTGGCTGATGCATCCGGGGAAGGCTAGGACGTAATGCCGCTTGAAGTACAACCAACAATCCTGATGAGACACGAGGAGGCACCAAAGTTCATTTGCAGTGAACCAGACAGAACGAAGCACGTGCTTTCTGTAGACACTTGGGCGGTTTTCTCTTGTGGCTACTCCGACAGCTTCTTCTCTAGTAATTGCTTCACCAGAACAGGATTGGATCGTCCTTGTGTTTCTCTTTGTACCAGGCCAATTAACTTATTTAGAACTTTTTGATTTCCTGCTTTTATCGCCATAACCTTTAAAGAAAAAAAAAATCAACAGACACCACTGTTACAGTAAACCTGAACATTTTCACTCATTCACAGCCAAGGTATGAATATTTTTGTCCTCTGGACCACGGTGGTAGAATACTATATTTTGGGCTAAGATGTTATTTATAAAAACTGCCTTCAGCTTTGCAATAAGCTCCTGCTCTGCTCCCATGAGACAACAGCAAGTCCCTACAGCAGCAGGGCCTTACAACTAATAGAAAGATCTCCTCTTATTGAAAAAGTCAGAAAACAGTTTTGGATTTTAACAGCGTCTGCAACTTGAACAGCGACTTCGCAGAAAAGGAGCCAGAAAAATGAGACTGGCTTCTTTTTGCTAATAGGATCTACCGTTTTACTCAATATACTGTTCAGTTATAACAAGTAATTTGCATCGAATCACAATCTATTGGATAGTATCCGTGAGGTCCTTCAAGTGCAGACATAGGTGTTTTTGTACCAGCATGTTATTTCCTTTAAGCAAGGAATCCTTTGCAACACAGCAATTAACTAACTGATCAGAAATATGACCTCCTATCAGACAGCTAGTGTTTGATGCACAGTCACCTGCAAAATAGCAAGGGCTGTATTTAGAAGCTAAGACAAGACACTGAAAATTTCACTTTCAGGCATTTCTAAAGGGGATGCTACTGCTGATTGACAGACAAGCTTCTGCCCTTCATATTGTTTGTGTGGCAGGGAAGACATTCTCTACATGGTCAGAGTTACTGGGCAAAACACGATAGCTTCAATTAAACTGGACGTTGTAATTACAGATCTTAAGGGAAGGATTGCGAACATATGAACCACCCACTGTGCCAATACCAAGCACAAATGCAAATATTGCTACTCATTACAGTATCCGAATTATTGGCAGTCTAAAATCTTCTCTGTAATGTCACAATATGGAAAGGACTCATTACTCCTGATCTGCTAGAAATTACCTACATGGGGCAGAATACAGTACAATCCAGATACTGCGTTTTCATAAAGTGCTCAGCATTGGCTTGAGCAACTGTTTGTAAGTTAGTTCATTTTAAAGAAAGTTACTATCAAAAAAGCGAGGCATACTCCCCCCCCCCCCCCCCCGCCGGGGCAGGTACTCAGCAAACGCTATTTTCTAAGGTAAGCTCCCGCAGCAATTTAAAGCAATGAATTACAGGCCTTCAAGGCAGCTTTTGCCTTGGTGAAAGGTCACCTGGAAAAAGTAGGGAAGTGAGGCCATTCTACTGCATTCAGCTTGACTAAAACAGTGGAAAACAGAGAGGAATTACATTCTCGGAGAAAGCATTATTATTGAAATGGGAGTGTAGTTACAGACCTTCGGCTTCTGCACTTCCCCATCAGTTCTAATGTTCTTTCTATCCACACTTGTGCTTCCGTACCAGTCTGAAAATACAGCAGCACTTTTATCAGGCTCTGCAAATGAGTCAGCCTGATGGAGGTCACGCCGACCTACTGCAAGCTCATTTTCTTTATCAAAAGCTCTTGCAGAGCTGTTAGCATCCCCCAGTGAGATCTCGGGTGGGTGGTATTGTTCTCAGAAGATGTTAATGTTTTTTTCCAAATGGCAAATGTATCTAGACAATGTTTACGTTAGAAGGAAGCTATTCACTTCTGCTTTTACATTTTCGCTCCAGAGAACTTATAAGCACTTGTTTTCATTTTGCTTTTTATAAAGCAGGTTTTAGACTCTGTCAAGATCCCTTCCTGCTCCTCCCCTTCACGATCAACAAGGTTTTTTTCCCTTTTTCCTGGCTCAGACCTTGTCAGACCGATGAGCCACGCAGGCTGCTGCGTGTCCTTCCAAGGAGATGGGGAAGAGCCAAAACCCCATCTTTCCTACCTCAGCATCTGTGCTGCTGCCACAGCCCAGCAGCAGAAGAGCAGAGCGGAGAGCAGCTCTGGAGCCACCGATGCCACTGCCATGGGGGTCTGGCTCCTCCCCGCCCCACGGACATTGTCAGGCAGGACAGCCAGCTAGACTTGTCTCTTCGGCAGTGGAGGGAGACAGGGACGTGGCAAAGAGACAGATGCAAGTAAAATTTTTGCCTTGCCAGCCTCTGATGCAGCCTCTAATTCCATAACTAATATATGCCTTGCTGGAGGTAACTTCAATCTCCAGCTTCAAACAGTTTAACAGCGTTGTCCTAATATCACAACAGATGACATAAATTCAGAGTTATGTGGCTGGGTGGCCAGGTCATGTTAATGGCAGTATAGCTGAAGAGTGAAAGAGCCCCACAGCTTTGCTTTGCTGCATTACATTTTTTTTGGTCTCGCAGAATGACTTAGCACATTAGCCAGACTGGTAATTTCTTCTGCTGATCATCTTGCGTATGCTTCAGTTTCCAAAAAAACACTTAGTTAAATAAGAAAGGAGAAGAAAAGCCCGATAATATCTGAGCAGCAGCTTTAATGCTCCTATACTGGCTCTAGAGCACAAATGCCAATCAAAAGGAGAAAAAAAAAAAGGCCATTTTAAGCCCCCTTTTAGTGCCACAGACTGCCACAGTGCAAAAGCTTCCCAGCACCATCATAATCACCTCATTTTCTTGTCCATCAATCACCGCCTGGCAGATCTGTTCAAGCTCTTTTTGGTCCTGTATCAGTTCAAGTTTCTTCTCTTTAACAATTTCAAAAGGAGTCTTCCCTTCTCCCTTCCACAATTCCGCAAGCACCTGAAAACCACAATGAGTAGCGAAGGTCAGTGTCTTGACGTATCAATGTTGTTTACGTGCAGTGTTTCAGCTACTGATCCAAGAAGCCAGATTTTAGTTAAAGCAAGAGCAGATGATTGTCTAAATGTGAACAAACCCAAGATTTAATCCTGTGCCTCGCTGAAAAAGCTCTTGTACCCTCCCTCCTTTTCTGCCTCCTGAAATAAGACAAAGCATTTTCACTCACTCCATGAGTACAGGTTAATGGTTCGCAACTGGTGCTCTGCAGCCTACTGCAGTACGAGGAGCTGCCCGCCACTACCAGCGATGGCACCTGTTCAAAGAAGTTCGCCGAGCGCAGCCCCCATCCACCTCGCTGCACTGAGCCACCGCTCCCTCGCTGGGAGAGGGGGGGCACCACGGCAGAGACTGTCACTGACTGCAAGGCTGTTCCTCAGGCAGTACTTGCGCTCGCCTCACGTCATTCACATGAACTGCCCGAGAGCAGTAAGAAAACCCATTTCCACGAGCAATGTCTCTGCCCGGGAACTGATGATTAGCTGACTACTGTACCGAGTCCAATGCCAGGTAACTCATCCCGTTACCAGCCCTCATCAGCAAGCTGTAATGAGGACACATATGACAAAGCAGAAGAAAAACAGTGCCGAGCAGGATGAATGCAGCAGCTGCAGCCCACCTGTGCATCACTCCCAAGTACTGGAATGCTGGGCAAATGCAGGCCTCCAGAATAACCACTTGTTAATGCTAGTATGTTTTCCTATGCTGTAGCAGGGCTGTCGCCCTGGAATAAATCTGAGAGAAGAGAACATTTATAAAAAACCTATTTCCTTGGGCAGTCATTTTCTGTATTCCCTTTGCTCTTATTTCAGAGCTGTGGGAGGAGAGAAAGAAAACTCTTATTAAAACAGCTGCTTGTACTCTATCCTGAGCTGAAGATATAATTGTATGTTTGGGCCATTGCTGTGTACCAATATGGACATGGATGTCACGTCAAAATTTCAGCATTAAATACTCACTGTAGGATGAAGAAGAGGCTGGGATGGGGAGACGAGAAGGGGCATTCAAACTGCATGTTAAATAATCAGCAGGGCAGCAAGACAACTTAGGAAAAGTGAAGCATGTGGGATGGTATCTTAACTACCCCAGCAATTTTCTTCAGCATGAAGAATTTTCTGGTGCAAAAGACCTTCAGTTAAACAATTCTGTAGCCACAACAGGTATTTAAGAACACTGAGACAATTCCTGCAAGAGGAGATTTCTTTGCCAGCGGTACCCCAAAGCTTTTTATGGGATCTTATCACTCTGCTGGAGACCTTGAGAGGGTAATGACACGCAGCTGTATTGCGGCAGCTACATCTTGTTTTTTCCCTCTAAGAGGGTTAAAGGCAGATCACAACATTAAAGTTACTGATAAGCAGCCAGAGTTACAACCACTATAAGTAAAGTTTTCAGCTGTTTATGTCTAAATAAATCAGCGCAGCATATGATGTCTTCTACAAGATCTTCCTTCTAGTGCAGTACTTAAAAACCATCACGCCAGTGCTACCTGGAATACCCCTAGAAAGAAATACATCCAACAGAGATTCAACCTGTCTGCAGCCGCTTGCCTTTTTTTTGTTGCACTCCATTGCTACCCCAGGCAGCCCCTCCCGCTCCTTCCCTGAGGGACCAGGCAGGAAGCTTTCTGTCCTCGAGGCCTCCCGAGGCACTGGGACGGGACATCACCCCTCACAAGGAGCCCTGTGCTCTTCAGGGCACAGCCCATAGCAAACTCCCTGGAGAGTCTGAAGCACTGCACAAATCAGGGGCCGGACAACGAATAAGCCATATCACTCTCCTGGAAAAAGGTAGATGTGATTTTTAGGACTGGTGTGTATTCAAGCAGGATGCCCCAGGCTGCAGGAGGGTAAAATCTGCAACAACAAAAAAATCTACGCAGCCGACCATGGCAGAGTTACCCAGGAGCAACTCATACATCAGGCTGACTTAGATCAGGGGCCGGACAGCCTGACAGTCAGACATCCAGCTCCGATTCCCTGCTATTCCTATGCCAAACATCTCCTGGCACTGAGAAAAGCTTGCCCATTAGAAACCTTGAAGGCACCAGATTTTCCCTGTGACATTTGCACCACGTGTACTTTCGATTGGGTATATCTCCACTTAGCTAGTAGAGCAACAATGTTACCGAGGCCCTTGCTTGTTTACAGGTACTAGGAAAGCAGAAAGAGATGTGGCCAAGACCTGTCAAAGATGCACTTTTAAAAACGTGTTTCTCCACTTGGCAAGGAGTAAGAATCTAAAGAAAGCAGTTTAAAAAATGATTTCAACTCATTTACAAAAACTGCCTGCACCAGAACAGGAGGATCAAATTATGGAGTCTCCAGAGCCAAAATGAGAATCTCAGGCTTCATTTCCATTACTGAAATCTCAGTAGTTTCTACTATTGATTCTTGCCTGAGCGTGATTAGATTTTAATGATGTTCTGCGGTCTCTACCTACACAGGCATAGCAGCGAACCACTGGTCAAGATGAATCAATCAGGACTTACATGTCTGGTTGCCACGGGCATCATATCAAACATTTTGCAACTGGTGAACGTGCCAGCTGACTGCTGTGCCTGGGAACGCTCCAACTGGAAACCCTATCTGCAGTGATTTGCTGCCAAGGGTGGGAGGGAAGCAGCAGGCAGCACCACTCGAGTCAGTCCTGTGGGCATCTCTCCTTCCCAGTGACGGAAGCCTCGGTGTCTGACAGCTGTCCCTCAGACTCTGACAAAAGTAAGGGGCAGGCTGGGTCCAGTCCTCCAGATGGTATAGCCGTAATTGTCAAAGCAGACGGTTCCGTTTAGGTTTGTGTACTGTACTCATTTCCTTGCTATCTACTTTAAAGTAGGGGTGCCAAGTGGGTCTGTTGAAGTTATTCCTATGTGGGTGACCTATGCAACTGCAGAAGCAAACAAGACCTGGGGTTTGCTCTGCTCCATTCCCTGCTACAGATCCCTGATGAACGCGTGACAAGGGTGCCCACGCAGAGTTGCTCCAGCATGGCTCTCGGCAGCAGGGGCAAGTTTCTGCTTCCCTGGCCCAGGAACCAGCCTCCTCCCACAATGCCGTAACTCAAAGGCAGGGTGCACTCACTGCCAGCCCTGCAAACGAGGAACAAGGCCCCATCTTGGGCATACTCCCCATCAGACTGGTTTCAGCCCTGGGTGAGAAGCACCGGCACCTCCCACTGCGGGCTTCAAAATGGTGCCTCTGGGGTGGGCCACAGCATGTGCCTGCACAGGTCCCCTGGTCCAGGACACACCCCACAGCCCTGCACACCGGCAGAGCTGGAAGCTGCTCCCCTTTGTACAGGCACGCCAGTCTGAAACTGCTCCGGAGACCTCTGGAGTAGGATGCTATATTTGAAAGCAAGTTGGGCGTGAGCTCTGTAATTACCTACGTGCTAATTATGTAAGCACACAGTGCCCTTTCCTTGGCATATGCATCCTACCATACAATGTTCTGTGTCTATAATCAGTGTTCACAGCTTTTATCTGCATGTATTTTAGTGCCTTATACAGCAGAGACCAAACACAAAACCTCTTAAAAAATTTAAACTGTTAACAGCTTCCTGCAGTGAGCATGTATGTGTATGCAAGTCTGCGCGCTCACCCCATTGAACTCGTCCATCCTTTCTCGTTGGATCTGTTTCTACCGCTGCAGTTCATCCTCCCCCACCCAAAGTGCTGCAATTCATCTGCTGTTGTGTATATATAGCCCTTTCTGCCCTCGGGCCAGCCAGTATCTCTGCCTACTGCTGAGAATTGTTATAAACATTTGTTATTCTTCTGACATGCAGGCAACCAAAATACTTTTCTAAATGTGGCAAGGTTTCTGCAGTTTGATAGCATCACTTAGTGATGGCAAACAGTACTGTTATTTCTCTGTGTCCAATTTCAGGACACCGAGGACAACATGCACGTTACAAGGAGTTGGTAATTAAACAAGAAAAGCATCTCCGAAATTCTTGACATTTCATAACCTGTCAGAAGTGCTGGCACACAAATATATCACAAGGCAAGAAACTCCTGTAGAAGAGCATTAGTACCCTGTCTCTACCTGCACAAGGAAGCCGAGAGTTAAGACTTGAGTCCTGAAGCAGTCTTTCAAATGCAGACACCAAACTGACGGGTGTGCCATAACCCCGCAGGCACAGA